CTAGATAAAACAAATAGCAAGAACACTTTTATGCTGTCAATTTAACTCACCTTGTGTACATGTACACGTCAATAACAAAACTAAACACAAGACTATTGTTTCAGCAACTAAATCTGGAACTTTGACAATATTATTTTTAAGTGCAGTAATTAAAACAATACATAGTCATTGGATTAGTTTTGCCGTGGCAGTGCGAATAGGGCCATTAGTCTGTGCGAAAGTCGGTATGATTTTCTTTTCATTTTGTGTGGTATAGAATAAATCTATCAATGACTGAATCATGAAAACTATCGATATGCATAGATATATTTTTATAAACAGTCTATCAACACTATTCAGACAGTGGAGACATTTCCAAAACATTTCTTTTTCGTATTACCAGTCAGAGACAGTTGAAAAAAGTCAAAATTTGTTTCTTGTTTGTTTGTGTACTAATTATTCAAACAAAATAAGTATCTTTGAAAATTGTTTAATAAATTGTTTTAGCATTTGAAATGAATACAATCAACAAGACAACTGTGCGCATAGCTGTCGGTCTGGCGAGCACACTCTTCATCGGCTATTGCGTCTATTTCGACCGTAAGCGACGTGCTGATCCCGATTACAAGAAAAAAGTACGCGAACAGCGACGTCGCAATCGAAAAAATGCTGACCGAAATGGAATACCAAATTTGAGTGATCACGAAGCAATTGAGCGCTACTTCCTGCAGGAGATACAATGGGGTGAAACATTAATTGCGCGAGGTGAATTTGAGAATGGTGTGGGACATCTGGCCAATGCAATAATCGTATGCGGACAACCAGGGCGCCTGCTGGAAATGTTGCAGATGTCATTGCCGTCACAAGTGTTTGCCATGCTCATACTCAAGATGCAGGAATTGGGCAATCGTGCACAAGCGGAAATCAACGATGCACCCAAAATTGTTAAGGTTAAGTCCATTGAGAGTGCCGACAATTTGAATGAGATCAGTTGCGGTCAAAGTGCTTCGTAGCATGAAAGGAAATGAGTTTATATTTTGTATGCGAATGGAGTGGGGCGTGTATATGTTTTGTATGAATTTTTAATATTTCTAAAGCAAGTAAATTTTTAAGTGAAATCTTAAAGTAAAAAAGGAATTTTGCGGAAATTTATAAATATCCGTTTAAATGTGGAGACGCGCGTGAATTAGCTTTTTATGTTTGAATAAAATTGACAGTGATTACTTAAATGTTACAAAAATGTAATTAGTCTATACTAATATATATTTTGAAGGCCGTTTTTTTTCTGTTTGCCCTTTTTTCTGTTCTGCTGTTAATTCGTACGGAATACAGCGCGACGCAAGGGTTATTTATACATATACATATGTACATACGTGCTAATATTAACGTTAATGTTGATTCTTATGTTAAAAAAAAAAAAACAAATATGTAAGTACAGTTCATGGATAACTAATGTAGGCAATTACATATGTATGTACAATGAGCAATTAACATTGCTGTTAGCACTTACAAAAGGCGAATGCATATAGGGTGGTAGCGGTAGTACAAAATAAAAACTACATTTGTATTTTGTTTTCGCTTTCGGTACACAAATGTCAAATTTCAGCTATTCTTCGCTCAAGGAGGAAGAGGGACAGAAAACTCCAACACTCTTACTTTCGCACTCACTCATAAGTAGTTTTGACATATGTGTACGGAGGTGAATCAAAGCAGCTATCCCAGCAACACCACCTTATATCGTCGCTGGAATAAAGAAACCCTGTAAATGCTGTAAATTCGATCATCGTACCACTGGATAGACAATCCTTTAATCTATTAGAAAAATCTTCATTTTTCTTAAATATCTTTTTGGATCACGCACTTATTCGCGAAAAACAAAATTTTAATTTTTAATGGTGCACTTGGACCATTATTAAGAAAATTCCGAAAAAATTCTTTTAATATTAAAATAACGTTAGAGAATTTTACTTCATTATATTACTGCTAACTTTCACAGGCAGTTTCAAAATGTGAATAATAAAATTGTGTAATATCGACATAAACCCATTAATTTTTATGAGTTTGCAACCACTATAAAATAGTGTAGAATGATTTCATATAAAAATGTTCAAAGATAAAATAGTATATAAGCAGATGCTTTCAGAAAAATGAGCTCAAATGGCATTTCTAAGTCATTTTTTTCTGAATTAACAGCGAAGGATTCAATAAGAAGCGTGGTTTATTTAAAATATGAATTTTTGAATAACAAGCGCGCACTTTAAAGTTTAGATTTGGTCGATTGGATCATAAAAACTTCAAATTTGTTTTTCTCAAAACTATACTTTTCATGTTTCACTACTTCATTATTCCAGCGACGGTATGAATTCGCCTTGGCACTCACATTTGTATATGAATATTTATGTACATTAGACTGCATCACCAAAAAAAGTTGCGGTTTTTCCATCGGGATTACAAAACGTATTATATTTTAAGACGTCCACTAAAATATTTCGGAAAAATATTAAGATTTAAGCGAGCTGGACCGATTTAAAATTACTTCCACAAATTAAGCTTTTTATGAATAAAAATAGTTTCTTAAAGAACTTTTTGAAAAAAGTCCCCTCAGATGACAAATTAGAATAAGCTTAAAAAATCTGCATAAAAATATTTAAAAATATTTTCAACGGAATCGTAAGAATGATATTTTTGATGCTGTTTTTTTACTTTTTTCAAAGATTGATTTACGAAAAACTTGAATAACTGGGCCAAAACTGTTCTGATTTAGACTTATGGGATCTCAGTAGAAAGGTATTTTCACACCGTTTTCATTTCTGGCCAAAAGAAACGTCATTCGTGTCCCATCTTTTTTTTTCGAATACCAAAACATCTTAATTCAACTTTCCTACTTTTCTCTTCCATCCTTTGAATAAGTTTATTAGCAAATACATGAAAAGGGTGAGAAAATACCTTTCCAATGACACCTCTTAAGTCTAAATCGGAAGAGTTTAGGTTCAGTTATCCAAGTTTTTCTTATACCAATCTTTGAAAAAAGTTAAAAAACAGCATCAAAAATCTCATCATTACGATTCCGTTAAAATTTTTTTTTATTTTTTTTTAATATTTTTATGCAAATATTTTAAGCTTAAATCGTTTTGTCATTTGAGGGGATTTATTAAAAAAAAATCTTTAAGAAACTATTTTTATTCATAAAAAAAAACATTTTTGGAGGTATTTTCAAATCGGTCCAGCTCACTTAAATCTTAATATTTTTCCGAAATATTTTGGTGGACGTCTTAAAATATAGTAGATTTTATAATTCCAATGGAAAAATAGTACCGATTATTTTTTGTATGGGGAGTGATGCAGTCTAATGTACATTCATATGAATGTATATAATTACGCATAAAAACCCTGCTTCTATGTTTTATGTACGTAAAAGCAGCAACTCTTATCCATCTATGACATAGTAGATTCTATGTATATCGCAAAGCTCGAGAACGGCTGAACCGATTTTATCGAATAGGCTAACCAAAATCCCGATATACAAAAGGGGCGGGGAACCTCCCGTGTAAACCGAATTTTTCATACTCCATATCTCTGGAAATGTGCAAGGTAGAGTTCTGAAACTTGGTATGGAGATACTATATATATGCAATCAATCGAATACTCTAGATAAAAATTGGATATATTGTACAAGGGGCGTAGGACCTCCCATACAATACGAATTTTTCACTTTTTATAGCACTGGAGCTGAGTATGGAGATACATATATGAAATCAGTCGCTTACTAATGAATAAATATTCGGACTATTTGAAAGGGGGACGTGGAACCCTCATATAAACCGAATTTTTCATAATAATAACCTTGGAAGCGTTTATGTCGTCGTGGCGCCTCCCATACAATTCGAATTTTTCTTATTGCATATCTCTAGAATTGTTCTTGGTAGAGTACTGGAACTTGGTGTGGAGATATATAAAATTAATCGCATAGTCGTGGAGAAAATACGGAGCTATTGGAAAAGGGGTCGTGACACCCTACCATGCAAGCTAGATTTCATACTGCATATCTCTGTAAGTGTTCATGGTACAGTACTGGAACTTCGTATGGAGATATATGAAATCAATCCAATACTCATAGAGAAAAATGGGCTCTTTGAAAAGAGGTAAAGAACGAACGGTAACATCGGATATGACGAAAATTTTTCACGTATTATGCATTCATATGTACATATTTACATAGATTACTAAATGATAAACAGATCCATATTAGCTGCAATCAACATATGTACGTATATATTTATTTACATACAAACGCTGCGATTAGGTTATATAGTTATATTGCGCCATCTGTTCCCCACAAGCAGAAGTACCTACACACACACATACTTTTTGTCTCCTTCTCTCACTTCCGGCGCATGCACTTGTTTGCAAAATGATGACAAAGTGCTTTTGTATGGACAATCATTTATGCACATATATTTAAATAAAATAAACATGCATAGAAGATATCTACCAAACAAAAGGAAAAAATTTGAGTTTTTGACTGAAGGCAACAAAAATAAAATCATTCGAGCGGTTGTCGAGCATTTTGGTAATAAAAAAATTGCTAGTTTTTTCAACAATTAAAATGCTTAAAACGCTCAATATATGTTGAATTTATATAAAATTTGTACACGATAATATTTACATTGCTCTAGAGAACCTATATCCCGAAAATGAAAGTTATATCTGCAAATCATAAGTTGCTAGAGTACTTGAAAGGCTCAAAATTGTCTCCAAAATAAGCCAATATTTACCGACAGGAAACGAATCAGATACTGCACCTAGAAAATAATTTCGTTACAACAACTAATTATGTTTCTCTCGACACGTGATTTGGGCAAAGTTACACGATAGGGTTACAGTTACCAAATCTTGTGTTGAGAGAAAAATATATAGATAGCTGACACGTTTCTGAGTGTGGAAACTTTGCAAAACTAATACTATCTACTTTATAACCGAAAATGATTAGTAACAGTTTTTTTTTTTTGTTTTGTACTCACTTTCTAAACTCAATTCGTGCTCTCTGCTGCTCACAGATATTGTTGCAGTTAGTTAGCTAATCCTTTACTCCTGTCGCTATTGTCCTTGATTATTAGACACAAAGTTGTGATTTTGTTTTTTTGCTTAGTTTTATTTCTTATCCATCCAATTATCTATCTTAATCCTTATGACATATGTTTTCTTTTGATTTTTTTCATTTCTTCATTTTCTTTTCGAACTTGGGTTTGATTTGACTTGTGGGTAGAAGCAATTCGTTGGCATTATTCTTACATGTATACATATGTATGTATGTATGTGCGTAGGGAGAATAGATTAAATCAATTCATCAACTATTAACTTCTATGCATGTATGTACGGGTATGTAGTACTTGTAGTACTGAGTAGTACTATAAAAATATTTGCATGCAAAATTGGTAATGCGCTACAAAGTATCCGGGCATGTGGCACGCAGAAACCCATACACACCCAACTCTAAGTCCCATCAGCTTCAGACAGTTGCCCAATCGCCGGGTATTCGCATTCGCAACCGATTCACTCATGCTACTTTCCGCGCTTTTTTCCTGCGTTTCTTTTATTTTTTCTTCTTTTTACATGCAAATCCATTTCTTAGGTTACCACTTTATTTAGCTAAAAATGTTTTGTTATTGTTATTTATTAAACTAACTGCTCACTCCAGCGCTGCCCACTCCTCTAGTGCACCCAAGATGGTGGCTTTACAATGCTGTTGTTGTTATTGCTAGCGATACTATTGAGCAGCGATGGCATCAATTGTGGCTGCTGTTGCTGGGGTAACTGTGCCTGCAGCTGATTCAATTGCTGCTGCTGATGATGTTGTTGTTGTTGTTGTTGTTGCTGCTGCTGGTGCTGCGCATTATTCGCCCCGCCGAGGGCGCTATTAACAATATTTGTACTGTCATTGCCAACAGCTGTGGGGTCAGATGGGAATGGGATGTTGATATCCAACATGCCATCAATGCTCATCTCCTGTCGGATTAACTGCAATGTGAATTTGTAGCGAGAGAATCGGCAGAGAGTTTACATTGTTTCAAATTATTTCAAGCGGTTACAAGATAATTTGATACTCACTTCCTCCAGATTGCACTCTAGGCCAGGTTGAAAGCTGTCTAGTGTAAATTCGTCAATTTGTGGCTCATTATTGAGTGCTTCCATGCATTGCCCGATAAGTGTTGATGCGCAGTTGTTGTCTGCGAATGCAAAAAACAAAAAATGACAATATTTGGGTATTTAATTCATATGGTAGTTGTTGGCACTTGAGTGCAAAAATCTTGGAGAGGTAATCTTAGTCCTAACGACCTTCGAAGCCTACACCGATAGTCATGATATATATGGTTAATTGCGGGCACCGAAAATAACAGCTATTCTTTTTTTAAAGTTAAACTAGGCCAAATATTTTTTAAGTCCGACTCTATAAAGAGGAATGCTTGAGCTTATCCACGAATAAATTACGAGTTATTACAGAAATTCTTACAGGACACTGTAAGCTGAACAATTACCTGGCTAAACTGGGTACTTACTGCAGAAGTGAAGCATATTTGGTAGGGTGAGCATCGAAACTGTGCGGAAGATTTTGCAACGATGTCCTGCACTGATGCACACGGCGCTTAGGTGATCCTCGCATAACCGAAAGTGCAGTTTAATCAAAATATTTAGGGTAAATATTAAAATTACCCCCAGCTACTAAATTAATAGACAGACTAGAAATCTATAAAAGGCATAGTTAGATCTCAAGGTCGCAGTGCTCCATTCTCAACAATAATCTGGTAAGTTTAGTTATGTCTGTAAAAGGTCACAGAATTCTCTGAGCTGGAGGAGTCGGCACGTGACTAATTTATGTCTTCCAATGAACAGATGCTCAAAAGGACATCTCGACGAATGATGCGAGAAAAGCTAGTTACTACAGAACTCTCGATGGCCAAAGCGGTTATATGTATAAACTTATACCAAAATTAATAAAAAATTAAGAAGACTTTAACTGCTTATAAATATAAAATTTTTGGAAATTGTGACTACATAAAGCTCGTTAAATCCATTAAATTTTTTATGGTTAAGCTCATTAAACTTTAAGCTATGAAAATCGATAACAAATAATGCGCTGATCACATTTTCGCAGATTTCCCGAAAATCGGACTACGATGAATTTAACGGTAGCTAAGTAATTTCAACTAACTTTTAATTTCTTTCGATAGCCATATTTTTTACCGGTCAAATTTTTTCATCTAGCCACCTACCTTCCAAATTTGTGCTAAGTGACTGTTGTTGCTGCTGCTGACGTTGTTGTTGTTGTTGCTGTTGCTGTTGTTGCTGCTGCACTTGTCGCTGTTGCTGCTGCTGCTGTTGTTGCTGTCGTTGCTGTTGAACCAATAAACTGGTGCCATTATCATTCGCAACGCCAGCAGAGCTGCCGGCATCTAAAACCACATTACTGTATGTGTTCAAAGAGTCCGACGATGGTTCGCTGTTCGGATACGCGGGAGACATGGTTGTTGTGACAGAATTAGGTGACAGACCCTGCGGGCGAAGAAATAAAAGGTGCAAAGAAAAAAAACGCAAGTTTATAGAACTATAAATTAAAACAAATGTCTATATTTACGTACGTCGCGTGAATTATGCAAGCAGCTGCACGTCAGAGAGCGATGCAACATGCACTGTTGGGCCTGTAAGCCATAACCCTGTGATACGACGGGCCCATTCAAGCTATATGTCTGTGGCGGCTGATAGGGGGGTGGCGGCTGTGTGGGTATACCCGAGGCAGCGCTAAACCTACTCCAACCGTATGACCGTTAAGTGGTAAAAGGAAGAGACAAAACAAATTCACTTTATTTATCTGCTGGCGATGAAGTTGGGAAACAACATATGTACATATGCATGTACATATGTATATACTTAGCTTAATTTTTAACACGCAGAAATATAAAAGAACTTCAGCATGCACAACCATACACATACACATGCATACACAAAGGCTTTTACAAACAAAAAAACACATTTTCTGTTGCAAAATAGTGCAAATCACCATGCTTTGGAAATAAAAATTTGCGTTCAAACACCCTTTTCAAAAGCAAAAAAAAAAAAACAAAAACATTTAACTTAAAAATAAACAGTTTTCCATAATTAATTACAAAAATCAAAATGGTCACTGACCCTTGCAGAATATCCTTTGGCAATTTTACGTCCGCTATCGAACCGGCTAATTGATCCATTGACGCTGACTGTGCCGGCGTTATGGTTGTATTTGTGTAGTCAGCACCAAAGCTCCAATCTGGCTCGAGTCCTATTAGCGCTGGAATCGGACTGAGACGTCCGCAGGAACTGGCATTCGAAGACGCGCGTTGTCGGAAGTCTGGTGACAACTGGAAATTACCACTTTGGTTGCGTCGCGAAAAGGTAACAAAATTAATCAACCACGATTGAAATGAAAAGAAAGGCAATAAATAAATTAAAAAAAAAAGAAAATTTAATTGAAATCAAATAGAAAACTGATTAGGAAATATAAAACATATGTATGTATGCAGATCTAATTTGTAAATATTCCTACTTAAAATTAAAAATTCATGAACTACATATGTACACTTTTAGCTACATAGGCATATTAGTTTTACGAAATAAAAATTCTCCGTCTTCTGGATAAATGCATAGTGCATATTACTTAAGTATTAATTTGCACACACAAATTCATTTTCAGGCGTCTTTGGTACCCTTTAAAACAGCTAACTATAAGCAGAGGATTCAGGGCAGATCCTGAAAGACAAATATATTTATTCAATCAGAGGGACCAACCGCAAATCAAAGCCAAAGCATTAAAAGAGCTTACGATGCCTCAATGATAGACAAATTCTCACGTAGCAGGCACTCACCAGTGTATTGGGTGGAACGATCATACATCAAATCTACAACACAATACGACAGTCCCCTTAGCAACCGGACCTTGTAACAAAGATCGAGGTGAGATTGGAAGCTAACGGTAGTCTTTTCTGATATTGAGCGGGCGTTAAACAGCGCTATCTTTGACTCTATGTGCTCTGCGGCCAGAAGACATGAAGTGCACAAAATAACCGTTAGGTGGATTCACCTGATGTCATCTAGCAGACTACTGACAGTGGGGGACGAAGCTAGCCTTTATACCATTCTAGTGTTTGGGAGAAGATGCCCTCAGCGAGGTAGGCTATAACCTCTCTTGTGGTGTTTGGCAGCGCAAGGCTTCGTTCGCATCCACTGTCATCAGATAAATCTCTCAGGGAGGTCTGCATTGATTGATGAATGGGGCACTTTGCATTGCCTCGCTGTAAATCCCAGCAAGACAACCCTAGTATACATAGTTTTAATCAGACCAATTGTCACGTACTCTGCCGTAGTATGGTTGCGCAAACCAATGCTCAAAATCACGGTTTTGGTGTTGTATAGGCACTCTTTTGGTCTGTGGCAGGACGATCGGTTTTTAGAGCAATATCCTTTTTTTGGCAACTATTGACAAACTGATGCCAGGAGTCTCCTTTGGAAGAAAGTATGTATTTAGATTTCCTACATGGAAGCTCGCCGAAAACTTTTTCCATCGACGGCTCAATGGCTGAAAATGCAGCAGGGTGGCATCTGGACAGTAACTTCAGATGCTTTACTTTCTTCCAATTGGAAGTTTTTGCGAAGTTGCTCTAAATGCCCTGGAAAGTGCTAACACCTCTTTAAAGATAGGCCAGGGATGTAAGTGGAGGCGGAACTCCGTTAGAAGTTGGAATGAGTTTAAAATTATTTGCGTGCCAAGACACTACGGTATTCAAGGAAACGAACTATCTAATGAATTGGAGAACTGCGATTCTTTGGAGACTTCAGTTTGACCGGAGTCATAAATAAAACTCATGAGGGGCGTTGGTGTGGTATTGACGCCTGCAAAACAACCAAGTGCTTCCTGAAAAGGTCTGACAGGGTGGTAGAAAAATTCCTTCTCAGACAAGGATCTAGCGCCCTTCTAGGACTGATTTCGGGGCACAATCCTTGGGGGCGACATATGGTCATCATAGAGTACCGAGGAGCCACTGTGTACATCTTGCATTTTCGCTGCCGCCATCCGGCCTTTGCCAGACTTAGATGGTACATTTTTGAGTCGGTTGTATTAAAAATAGACGAGATACATTCTTTTTCCGTCCACAAACTGCTTAGATTCATAAAGGAGTCTGGTAAGTTTGCAAAGGAGTAATGAATTCCCACCGCACTTTTATATCCCTGTCCCATAAATCCTGTCTCTTGTCCTTAAGTACAATGGGCAATACTGCCTGAGTGCTTGGAAAAATTGTTGTTAGTTTTTCCAGCCACCCACAATTCCATTCCATGGTTTATACATATGAGTTTATAGAAGGGGAGTGGAACATCCAATATGCGTGGCATTTCAGTCAGTTGTAACTTCGAAACTGTAAGTCACATGACTTTTAGATTTGATGTAAAGAGTCGAGATATCTAGAGAATCCGTCTCTATTATACGACCTGTATTAACGGGCATTAATCTTATGATAACATCTGATTCTGCAAACATAGATGGCGCTGGAATCAAAATATCTAGAAATTACGCACTTGGAAAATGATTTATATCTACTTTCTACTTCAACTACTATTTTAAGTACATATCTGTAGCATTTTAATAAAACAACTTATCTCGAGTTGAGCCAATTTTTCTTAAAACAATATTTAATTGGGTAGCCAAATAGTATTTTAACGATTAACTAGCCTTAGGCTTAGTTTGAGATGTACTTTTAATAGAAGCTTAATCTTCCATTACTAACATGCTGTCTCACAGACCGAACACATTCTTAAAGCTTTCTGTAAAACACAGTTGAGCTTTCCAAACTTTATTCTTTGTATACCTTTTGGTATACCGATGTAGATTGATTCCTTTTTCAGTGACTCGGTCTTTGTAAAACCCTTTAAACGAGACTTATTCTGTTTTAATCCAAATTTAGTTAATTTGTATCATCGAAATGCCGCAGATATGCACATAAAATTTTTCAACTAAACTTGTGCTTTGGAAACTATTATAAAGCTGCTATAACATGCTTGCTCCCACATTTGCGTGTATTTAGTTTGCAAAAAGAACTTATCATTGCAAGCAGCCAATATTAAAATGGTATTTTAAATCATAGTGTAAATATTTCGAAACCGAATAATATTTCTGCCAAGATGCTAAAAAAATTAATTTTCTAAATGTTATGCCAAAGAGGCAAAAAAGCGAATGGAATTGTTTCAAAAATACTGTGGCAACTACTGCAATTTTGCACTAAGTTTTTTATTAAAGCATATAATATTCATGACTCTAAGTTAATAGATACCTGTGCAATGGACTCTCCGAGAAGTGATCCAAACCTTCACTCACGCTACTGCTGGGCGATGGTGTCGCATCGTTCAGACCGGTAATGCCCGCCTGACGTAGAGCCTCCACGCGCTTTTTGGCACGCCCCCGACGCTTCTCGTAGCGCGACGTTTCCATAGATGCGGCACGCCGACGCACTGATTTGCCCGGTTTCGCATCCGGATTAAGCATCCACCAAGACGATTTGCCAGTACCCTCATTTTGGACGCGCATAAATCGATTGTGCAACGATAGATTGTGACGAATGGAATTCTAGAAATGAAAAAAAGAAAATATTGTTAAAAAACCGAGTTTTAAAAAGATTACTTATTTAATAAGTTAAAGTGAACCCTTTCCGGTTCTGGTCTAGTTCTGTATGAGAAAAAAATATAGGTAATATCGAGAATGTTCCCACAATCGAGCTAAACGGCAACAATTATATTGAGAAAAGTTTGAACGGGAGCAAAATTAGAACAAAAGCTTCGGGAACGTTTCCGTAAAGAACAAAATGCGAACAAAATTGCCGGGAACGTTCTCAAAAAGAACAGAATGAGAACGAAACTTTCGGAAACGTTTTCCCGGATGATAAAATAAACGCAAAAGTCTGGGCAACCTTCTGCTAGAGAACAAAACCAGTACACAAGTTTTGGGAACTTAGTGATAAGAATGAGAGGGCCATCTGAGTGTTGGGATGAAAAATCGTTTTAGTTAAAATAACGATTGTTAATTCTTAGCCAGAGGAAAGCTGGATCATTTCAACTTCCGTATCCTTTATCATTAGGAGGCACTGTTTATTTATGTAACAATTTTTCATTTTCTGTGCAAGAAAAGTTAATTTCTTAAGTCTTTCGTTGACTTAATATGCATAATTATTTTTAAAATTTCTGTTCATTTTTGATTAATTTTACCATAGGAGGTTTCTTCCCGGTCGTACTCTATCAGAAAGTCACTTAGACTCTTGTTCGCATGCTATACTTTTCCAGAACGTTCCGGAGCCTTTTTTCCCCCGTGTTTCCCTTAGAAATATTCTCGAAAGTATTGTTAGCATTTTGTTCTCTTTGGGAAGGTGCCATAGAGTTTTGTTCTTGTATAATTCCCATTGAGAACGTTCTCTACAGTTTTGTCCTCACATTTGTTCTTGCGTTTTTAAGCGTTCTTGGAAACAAACTACGAGAACGAAATTCACTTTTGATCACACCCTTTGTTTTCACAATTTTTTTTTTATTTTAATGTTTTTTAATTTGCTATTTTTCAGACAATTGGTACTACTGCCTGTGGAAAACTGATCCAAATGTTTTATGAAAATTTTCGTTGTGCAAGAAGTGCGTTTTGAGCATTGCGCATTTTGCGATGAGGACACCGGCGCCCGTCGTTGGAATTTTATTTATAAAAGAAAATCTGCGGTCTTATTGAGTCACCCTGTACTGTATATTTTCTTAACAACGTCTTGACAGTTAGATCAATGCTTTGCAGACTAAAATAAAGCTCGATTGTCGCACAATTATCGAGCAGAAACCATTGAAAAAACCCTCAACTAGCATTGCTGAGCTTGCAATACGCATCCCCTTTTTCGCTGATAGTACATTCAACGGTTCCACGAGAGGGTGAGTTGACTTCATTTTTATACATCATCGCTGATGTAACAATTTGTAAGCAATTGAAACCGCTGCGTTGCGACAACATACAGTTCCAGTCCATGTCTACCATTCAGTGCTTTGTATTCAACTACTCTCCCGCCACGCCATCAACTCTACTGCGCCAGTTAGTGAAGACATTTCAATTGTCTGCCGACATTTTTATTGCTTTTCTTACAAGAAACCCAAAGAAATGCCACGCTTCTGCTGCGCTAATTGGACCGACGTAGCTTTTGCGCTGCCGCTCTATCTAGCTCCCTGTCTCCGCCGCAACATTCCCACTGTTGGCTGTGCCACTGTTGTGCTGCTGGTTTTTGCTGCTGCCACTGCTCACATTTGAACTGTCAATTCATATTTTATGACATAAACCATAAATACTGTGTGGCAAAGAGCTGTCAGCGAGCGCGTGCGGGGATAGTAAAGAAATAAAGCGGCAAGGGCTTCGCATATCAAAAAACAAAAAACAAACAAGAAGGCAGAGAGAGAATGTTTCAATTGTAAACGATTCATCGACTTCGATGACTAGACATAGGCCAGAGGGGGAGCTGTGAAAAGTGTTCAAGGTACGAAACACTGGAGCCACATTGCGGTGGTAGAATACAAACATACAAATCTAACATCACCTGCTCTATGAATTTGTCAACGTACAAACGAACACGCGCACGCCGCTACACACTCCTCTGGCCTTGAAAGACATACCTATGTGCGTTTGTGTTTCCGCCGACAAGGCAACTAAGCGAATCGCCCCAAAATAAGTGGGAAAGAGAAACAGTAGCAAAGTGATGCAAAAACAGAAAAAAAAAATCCAACAAAAGATAACGAAAAAAAAAACAGGTTCTAAAACATCAGTAAAACGAAAAACTAGACAGGCAAACTCGTTGATGACGCGACAGCACACACGGTAACGTGCGACGGACTGGCGCCTTTTATCACCGTTACGAAGGATGCGCCGCAGCAGCCCTTTTACCACATTTATACCGTTGGCATTCTCATCCCTAGAAGCACCAGCAAGGCGACGCATCACGCCGCAGACTATCTATGCGGGTGGGTGTATGTACGTGGCCGAGTGTGTGTGTGTGCTCTAACAGTAGCTTACTCCTCGCTGCTGTCAAACACACAGGCATGTGTATGTATGTATGTACATATGTAGTTATGTCTGCGGCACTCTAAAAAAGTAAGTTTAACTTAATTTTACTTTTTGCTAAACTTTTTCTTGGCGTCACTGCCAATAGTTGCGTCGGCATCCTTTTTGCACGTTTACGTATCCTTTTTCCGAAATTGTGCCTTTTACGCTTCTTTTTATCTCTTTTATTTTTGTTTGTTATCACGGTTGTCGTCCTCACTTTTTGGTTATTGTGCAGGTCGTTATGGGGCTGAGCTAATGGTTTAGCCTTTGGTTTAGTTTAGTTGTTGGCTTTGATTTTCAAAAATGTGCCCACTCTTTCAGCGTTTTATTTTTTTTCATGGTTACTTATATCGTTTTCACTTACAGTAATCATATTTATTTAAGCGCTTTAGTGGCAATTTTTGTGCGTAGCTTTGTATGGCTCTCTTCAACTCTTTTATTTACGGAAAGTAAAAAATGTCTAGCAAGAAAATTGTACTTATGTTAACGGTAATATGCTTCGCGTTAAAGCTTAGAATTCTTGCCAGTTATTTTGTGGTGAGTGAAACAATGTAGAAAGAAAATTTAGACAAGTATTGCAATTTAATCTAACCGAGGACGAAAGTTCTCTAAAAAAAAAAAATTAAATAGATATTTAAAATTGTTGGAAAACTTCTCTTATTTTTGGAAAAAATAAATTAAATTTGGTCGGCAATTTAAAGTTTAAAGCAAGTAGCACTTTTATATAATTTCTATATCATTTCCACCACAACTTTGAATTTATAGGAGGACCTGCAAGCGGAGTAAGCAAACCGTCTTCAATAGGAAAAACCTCTTTCTAATCAAGCGAAACATTAGACCAATGCTGACCTTACTTTCAGCACTATTTCTTTATCAGACCCTCGGCCGTCCATGTGCTTCATCAGCCGGCAAATCCTTGCACATCCGGAGAGTGTCGACACCCGCCATAGTGCGCTACGCAAGGCCAACAAAGTCTGCTCCTGAGGCACATCGACGTGTTTTTTATAAACAGAGAAGAGAACGCAGTTCATGGTAGGCTAGGCCCCGCGAGGTTCGACCTCATCAGAGTGGCTTTCGACGTGTCATTGAATCACACAAAAACCCATCCCCCTCCCATGACTGCCCAGCATCGCTAAACATCTAATACTATATAATATAGCACAAATCATTTGCAGATTATAGTTTGTACCAACGTCGGTAGGCCTATCGAATTCGACACGGCCAAACATACGATTTTCTGCCAAGACACACTACACTCTTTTCTTCCAGATAAAACGAAATGGTGGATAACCAGGTGTCTGTGTGGACGTCAATAGTTAGTTGAATTCAGAAACTCTAAATATAAGCCACACAGAAATTATTAGGGAGTCGCACAAGGTGGTATTTGGCCGAGCTTCTCCTCCGATTTGTGGCGTGCTTTATGAGAAGCTGTTTAAGAACACAGTCGTATACCCAGTGTAAATAGAGATTTATCTAAATTTTCTAGCTGTCTTCATGTATGTATGTATGTGTATGTGCACTTAATTTTTTTCTTCATTTCATTAACATATGTACTTACATACAGACTTGAGCGAACATGCGTGTCTATAAACTAAGATTTATAGACTAGTTATATACATCAGCACTTGATGACATCACAGATTTTCAAGTAATCAAAGCACGCCGATCGTTTTGGGCAAACATTTACCTAAACAATATATCTTAAGGCTTGCACACGCAAGCCATACATGCAAATACTAACGTATTTATATGTAAGTATACATATATGTACATATGTATATATATGTACGTAGGCTAAAAGCTATAACTCTATAAAATTTTATAAGCATTACCAGTCAAGTGAAAAGGCTTTAATTGTTCGACTGTTTATAATCAATCAGCAAACAAGCAGCGCAGATGTTAAATATACTCGCTCGTAGCAATGGAATGTGAAAAATATTCGAACAGAATCACCACTTAAACATTTTATCGAAAGGGCGTTTTACATGCTCGCCTTTTTGGTATGTTCACACACAAATTACCGCCTCAGCTATTATTTAGTTACTCATACGCCCCCGCAATCTCCGTTGCCTACAATAGTTGATGCTAGGCATTTTGCATGCCGGTTAGTTACATACACTCCACACATATCAGCTGACAATCGTGTATATTCATAGGTATGTAAATACCTAGACAATATTTTACTTACGTATTACTTAGATATATTTATACAATATGTATGTATATATGTAAGTACGCATGGTATATAACTATATATGTACACAAATGCATGATTGACATCCATACGGATATAAAAAGTATTAGGCTACTAGACAATGTAACAGATACTCGACACATATTCCAATAGCTACAACCCTGCAGTAAAAGCTACTAGTTCTAAATTAGCTGACTTCCCATCTGCTTTTTAGAGCAAATTTTTAATTTTCTGCCTTTTTTATTTAGGTAACAGCCATAATAATAGAAAGAGATATTTTGACTAGTTTTTTTTTAATTATTTTTTTGTAGGAAAATTT